GGGAATGTGGGTGGGAGAAGGTATCTGGCACCTGCTAACCACGCGTTCTCTGTTTGGGTTTAAGATGCCCCTGCAATCCTCCCAACAGATTGGCCCTGCCCAATGCCCTGTGCACACCTAAATAAAAGGTAGACTTCCTTTTCAGGTGTGGCTCTGAGGTGCAGTCGTCACTGTCATTACGGCTTTTGTTGTCAGCAGTGCTTCCAAGTGCTCAAAAGAGCAATTTGTTTTTCTCTGCTGCTCCAGGAAGCTTGTGTAGGATATGTTTGCTGTCAACGAGGTTATTTTAAATGACTAATATTATGAAGAAACCTGGCATTGAGAAAATCTTGGTGGAATGGAAGCAGTGTACAGGAGTAGCAGAGGTCAGAGAGCAGTTGCCCCTGGCCCACCATTTCCTGTTTGCTGTGGCCCAGGGACAGCAGCTGTGTGCTTTGCAGCACCCCAGGGAGCACGCCTTGGACCCAGCCCGAGGAGCTCTTGTACTGCATGTTACAGCCCAGATGGTCCTCACTGCAGCTGCAGCGGCAATATCGCACTCGGGGGCTGCTCCCCAGACATGCCGATGGTTTCCCAACGATGAAACAGGTCTAGCTTCTGTTTCAGCACAGCCCAGCCTTAATAATCGGCATCATTTAAAATACTGCTTTCTACAGCTTCCTATTTCTTGTTTGTCCTTGTGCACCTGATGTTCTCAATGGATTAATTTTTGACTTGGATGAAAAAATACTGCCTCATGAGCTTTCTGAAGGGCACTAGGTGACTGCTTTAAAGAAGAGGCTAGTCTACTGGGGGTTGGCAGGTGGCGTGGTGGTTAAGGGCGCTGGACTCTCAAATGACCAATAGCAGTTCGAGTCCTGGACCTGGTAGCTTACTTTCTCACTATCTCACTCACTCTCTCTCTTTCTGTGTGTCCCTCTCTGGTCAAATTAAAATAAATAAATAAATAAAGTTAAATAAAATAATTCTGAAAAAAAAAAAGAAGATGAAGAAGAACAAGAACAAGAAGAGGCCAGTGGTTCCATTCTCCAAATCTGTCTTTGGGATTCAAGAACCAAAAAGAAATATCAAATGAAAACAAAGCTGCTCCTTTTATCTGAAGGCTACCAAGTGGTGGCTGCCTGGGGCAGGTGGTGGTGTCACATTTCACTCTGCATCACTCCGCCAGCCTCAAGGTTGGCTCTGGTTTTCACCCAGTTTGTCTTCAGGTGTTCCTCAGGACTTCCTCCGTGCTGTCCCTTTTCAGGACCTCTCCATTCCATTCGTAACTTTCATTACCCTTTGGTAACCTGCTTCTAAGTGACTCATTTAGATGAAAGGGAATGGGGCTGGCTGGGAGAGCTAGATCCTTCATGGCTGACTGAATTCAAATCTTGGTCCTGGTGGCTTGAAAAATATGCTAGGCATGTGTGTGCCCCAAATCCCAACTAGACAGAGAAATGGAAGAGAAGAGATTGTATCATGACTATGCCCTACTGAGAGTGCTTTCTCTCTCTCTCAAACCCTCTGGCAATGAAAGCAGCAACCACAAATAGATGAAAGGGAATAGTGTAAGAGAGAGAAAAGGGAGGAATTAAAAGAATGCAGTCTTGGGGGACCAGCAGTTAGCATAATGGCTATGTTGTTGGACTCCCACGTCGTCAACCACTGTTCGAATCCCCGACCCGGTGGCTTAAACTCACGCCGGGCGCATGTGCGTGCGTGCCCAAGATCCAGAGAGGAGAATGGAGGAGAAGGGATTGCAGCGTGGCCATCCCCCCTGGGGGGTGACTTCTCGCTTTCTATCTCTCTGTCTCTCTCTGGTGAGCGCACGTGCCCTACAACAAAAATCTCTCCAAAAAAAAAAAAAAGTAAAAAAATGAAAAAAAAAGAGAAAAGAAAATTAAAAAGAATGCAGTCTCTATAGTAGGTAGGAGACTGATAGATTTCCTTACAGGTAGCTCTTTTATAGGCATATTTTATTCTCTGTTGCCTTACTGGCCCTAGGAGGATAATGGTACTGCGTCTTTCTGACCTGTTCTTGTAGCCAAAAGACCTGCTAGTGCTGTGTGCCTGAGCAACCTCCAAAGGGGGTCCCCATTGTGTGCTATGACTCGAAGAACAACGTGTCCAAGGGGAGGGTGGCAATGTGTGGCATGCTGCTTAGAGAGAGAATAGAAAACACTTTCCACCTTTATATCCTTATGTGTTTTGTATACTTCTCTCTCTTTTTTGGTTCTAGATGAAAGTTAGTGCCTTGCTCCGCTCTGCTTATTAGGTTGGCTGTAATGTTGGTTTCCAATAAAAATGATGTGATCAAACCAGACTTCATCTTATTTCCTTTAAAAAAAAAAAAAGCTTACTATCATAGCTTGAGTGGGTAGAACAGTGTGTATACCCAAATACAGATGTTTATCATAGTAACTTTTGAATTATACAAACTAATATATAAACGAATATATTTTAAGTTATTTTTTATTACACTTTTATTCATTTGTCTAGAGAGCACATACCCATGTGGTGAGTTTGATAGGAACTGGCTGACTGGGGAGTTGGTTGTGTCTGAAAAACAAACCTAGGCTTCCCTGCCTCTAGCAGCATTTCTTAGTAATAATAGTCTTAGCTACTATTATTGATTTTTAACTTGGGTCTTAGCTATTTACTTTGCATGCAGCATCACATTTTATTTTTACAGCAACTTAATGAAGTAGGTACTGTTACTATCCTCATTTTTCTCATTTTCTGAAGCTCAGAGTTTACTTATTTATTTATTTATTTTTTATATATTTAGGGCTCTGGAACAAAAATTGGCAAACTTTTTCTGTAAAATGCCAGAAAGTCGCTATTTTTAGGGCCATGGCATCTCTGTTGCACCTACTCAGCTCTGCTGTTGTGATGCTAAGGAGGGCATAGAAAATTCCAAACGAATGACTGGCTGTGTTCCAATTCAAACTTGACTGATAGACGCTGGTACTTAGCTATCATTTTCTTATGTCACAAAATATTATCCTCTTGATTTTTTTTTCCAGCTATTAAAAATGTAAAAAACAAAATGTTCTTCCTTCGCAGGCTGTGCAAGGACACAAGTGGCTAGATTGGCTGACCCTTGTCCTAGATGATGAGAGTATGCAGAGAAGGAGGGCTGGGTTAAGGGGGCGGTAGAACACCCCTGCCAGAGGGAACAGCCTGTGTACAGGTGGCAGAGAGCTCGAAGTATCTGAAGAATCACAGGCAGTGCATTGCAGTGTGGTAGGCTATGAGGCAGAATGACTCCGGTAAGAGAAGACAGTAGGGCGCAAGTTATGACCTAGTAGGGCATTTTAAGGATTTTGGACTTTGTCCTTAGGGCAATCGGAAGTCATTACAAGTGGCAAGCAAAGCAGTGAGAGGTACAGTTTATCTTTGTAAAAGATCATTGGCCGATGGGGAGATTGGGTCCCATGGAATTAGTAAGAATGGAAGCAGAAAACCCGTTAGGAGGGCTGAGGCAAGTCAGGTGGACGATGCTTATGTCCATTAGTGACCTGGCCTGCACCATTTCCTTCTGACAGTGTTAACAGGTCATGACGAACAGTTGCAGATGAAGAAAACTCAAAGTAAGTATCTTGAAGATAAAGATTAAGGCCCTGGTCTTCTGATTTCAAATCCAGCGTCTTCCCTAAATGGTATGAAATTCTTAACATTCTCAAATGGAAACTATGTTTTTCCTAACCTACCACTTATCTCTGAACCCTGCCGCTGAAGGGCTACTTCTATCTTTTTTCTTCTGGAAGAAGTGTACATAAATAAGAATATTTTGTCTTAGATTTGTGTTGTTAATTTTCACTTCTTGAGGGAATTTATGTCATTATTGAGGGAAATAATCTTTCATTAAAATGAATAAAAGGCTAAAGATGATACTGCGGTAATGGTTAGGTTATTTTTGTGCTGCCGCTAGAGCTAACTAAATGCTTAAAGATCGCTGTTCTCATAGTTTGTGTAGTTTTCTTTCCTAAATGATAACTGACATGATTTTTTTCTCCTTTAGAGGAATGATTTATCTGGCAGGACTGTCAGAGTCACATTCCATTTCCTGATCTGTGGCTGTCTCTGGACCAGCACACCCCATTCACCCACTGTGATGCTGAGGAGTCAGGGTCCAATCTGAGGATGGAGAAAAAGGGATGAGGGAGCAGTGAGTCTCTGCCTCAGGGCAAAAGGGTGATGGCTATTCTGCCCTAGAGGCAGTGTGGGTGTTGAGCTTGGAGAAAGGGAACTTCAGAAAGTTCTTGGAAAGTAGGATGTGGTGACTGCTCAGTGAATCTTGATTTGGAGTTGGTATTTCATTTCAATTTTCCCTTAATTACTGTTATTGCCAATTGTCTGCCTTTCCCCTTTATAAGAGAAAATCTTAGGGATCCTGGCCTACGTCTCAAGTGTTGCCCCTCACCCCACAGTGTGCAGTGCGTGGCACATAGTAGGGCTCACACAGAGAACTAACTGAACACAGGCTCCATGCTCATCACCTTTGGCATCGTGTTGCCCTTCTCCCTAAGAAGTCAGAGGCTTCTAGTCTGAAATAATTACAGTGAACAAAGAAGATACTGGGGAAATTCTGAAAATAAAACATTCAAGAGTAAGCAGGAGACAAGACACAGTCATCTACTGAGGGTTTTCTCCCATCATGCAATTCAATGTTCACTTGCTGTAACCTATGTCATTAGACTTAGGTTGGGACATCTTCATTGTTGCCTAGGTGCTGAAGAGAGACCTACCAAGTGAGTTCATTCCTAATCCTGATGGCTCTGTATATACTCACGCAGGTGTAGGTGATGAAGCTGACGTTTTTTGTGTGCTTTCTCTCTACTTCCCTTCTTTCCTTCAGTTATTGAATCTAGTTATATATAAGTTCATACAAAAAGATAAGGTGTCTGACTATGAAGCATGTTCCAGTCTAATGTAGAGATAAAAGGAAATAGTTCCACATGGTAGGAGGTGTGGGCAGCTGGTGAGATCTTCTTCCTGACCTACTGGTAGGACCTCCTCAAGTCCATTGCCACTGAACTCATGAATGTGGTAAAAAATAATTAGAGGAACTGTGCAGTTTGGGATGAATTAACAGTTTCTGCACTTAACCTTTCTCCATTTGTGCAGGGTAGAGATGTCTGCCCAGAGGTTAATTTCTAACAGAACCTCTCAGCAACCTGCATCTAATTCTGATTACACCTGGGAATATGAGTATTATGAGATTGGACCCGTCTCCTTTGAAGGACTGAAGGCTCATAAATGTAAGTCTTACACAACTTTACACTGTAAGCGTAATATGTATTTGTCTTAACCCATGAAATCTCCAGTAATTACTTCTCCTGAACATTCTATCATCATATAGAACTCTGCCCTCCACATTCAAAATCTCACAGAACACCACCTCCATACATAGACTGACTGCTCAGAGATGGTATTACGTGAGGGCCTTGGTGACTCTGATCGATGAAGGACTTAGATTCCCCTAGTGAAGGACCATGAGTTGGTGTCAGTCTCAGATTGAGAGTTTTTTTTTTTTTTTAAAGCATTAACCATTCTAGCTCCCTGAAACTGTGAATGTTTGCACTATGAAAAATATGTTAAAAAATAGAATCTGTATCTGTTGTTTGAAGAACCTTCTTTTGTAACACAATGTCCGCAGCATCCTTTCAACCCAATGGATTTTCCGAAGTTGCTAAATGGTCAGTTTGTGCGTGTAATGGTGGACGAGAATAGCCTGGGATCATTCTTAACTCCATTTTATAGGCAGGAGTTGTGCTTCATGTTACTGGAGTGACTAATGACCTAGCGCAGAGCAAGGAAATGTAATTCTGTGAAATGTGACTGTTCACCTGCACTCAGAACCGAATGCCAGCCAGCTAGCAGGAAGCATCCTTGTTTCATTAAGTGCAATGCAGAAACTGCTGCTACTCCCAGTCTTATTCTGGCTACCCCATAAATATCCCTGAGATGTTCCATTGTTTCAGAGGGAATATTCACAGCATTGTAAAATTTTGGGGTTCTTAACTGGTTCAGATTCATGGGACTCATTAGAAAAATATACAAAAGATCAGAGTGAGAGTTGCAAATGAAGCAAAGAAACTGCTTTCATCCCTCTAATTACAGCCTGGTTGCTTCCACTCTGACCTGTCTTGGCATTCACGATCCTATCTATTCATTTACTGCTCTCCTGCAAGAAGGATTACTTTTGTTCCTTAAGTAAAATTCATTAACTAAACCACATATCCTTTATTCCTGAGGCGAATCATCCAATTAAACGCTTTCACCCATTCCTTTATTGATGTCTGCTCAGTATTTCTTTCTTCTTTTTCCCTTTTTAAATTTATTTCTTTTCTGTGTTTCTTTGTGAGAAACAAAAAGCACATGGATCCTTTAGGATCTACTGTCATTGATTATCTGATGGAAGGCCATTTTGGTCTGGGCATGAAATAACTCTCCTAATAATTTACTTAACTTCCTTAATCTGTTGGTTTTTTGAGGGATAAGCTTTAGGTAAAGACACTTGCTTGTGATGAATTACAGTGGAAATGACTAGGTATATTGCCCTGCATTTCCCTGTGAGGTGGGCTTTTACAGGTTAGTGACAGCTACTTTATTTTCTGGGTCAGTTTACTCCAGTCTTTTTTCCTTAGTTTCTGGGGCACAAAAGACAAGCCTGCTACCATAATTTTGGTTGGTACATTTCCACAGATAACTGTGAAAAATCTTTTGTAAGTATATTCTAAAAATGATTTTAGCTGGGAAAATGTATAGCTCTATGAAACATAGGCCGAGGTTTAATGCATTACATACTTTACCTACCATACTGTCCAGAAGGATTGCTTCTGTTACATTTAACATCCACATCACAGGGAAAAAAAAAAGGCCCAAGGTAGTACTTGCTGTTCTGATATAAAAGATCTGATTAAAGTAGAGGGTAGATAAGTTCAAGAGGAAGTTTAAGAGCTGAGTCCTGGGTCACGCTAGCATTTGGAAGTTCAGGAAGGGAGGACATTGAGTAGGAAGTAGTGAAGCCTGAGAAGAAGGTATAGAAAGGTAGGAAGAAAACTGGACAACTGTGACTTCCTGCCAACCAACTGAAAATGAGTCTCAAAGACAGACAACGGTCTGTGCCAAACGCTGCTATTAAGTCAAGTTAGTTGATGTAACCACTGGATTTACAATGTAGACATTACTAGCAATGATTTCAAAAGTAGTTATCTTAGATAGGTGGAGGTGAAAAGCTGATGGAATGGGCTCAAAAAAATGAGGGGGGGGGGGTCAGCAGATGGCATAATGGTTATGTCACTGGACTGCCACATAGTCAGCCATGGCTTGAGTCCTGAACCTGGTGGCTTAAAACTCTCCCTGAGTGTGTGTGTGTGTGTGTGCCCAAAATCCCTCAAGGAAAATGGAGGAAAAGGGATTTCGGCATGGCCATCCCCTTTGTGGGGGCGTGATTTCTTGCTTTCTGTCTCTCTGTTTCTCTGTCTCTCCGGTGAGCACACACACATGCTCTATAGCAAAAACTTCTCTACCAAGAGAGAGAGAGGAAAATAAGAGATAATATGGGCAGACAAATCTCTAAAAGTTCTGTCATAAAGGGAAGGCGAAAATTGGTTCATTTATGAAGTGTGTGGCTCAGTGGAGACAGTGTTCTTAGAGAAGCCAAAACCAAAGCCCACTGGGATGCACACATGCACTGTAGCAAACCCACTCTGGCTGCTGTGTTGAAAAAGGACTAAAGGAGCACTTTCTTAGTTTGAGCTGTGCTTTTTACTTTTTCTTTTTCTTTTTTAATTTTGATTTTTAGCCCCCCCCCCTTTTTTAGAGAGGTTTTTGCTACAGGGTATGTGTGTTTGCCAGAAAGACAGAGAGAGACAGAAAGCGAGAAATCACCTCCGAGGGGGATGGCCACACCGCAATCCCTTCTCTTCCATTCTCCTCGAGATCCTGGGCATGCACACACACATGCCCAATGTGAGTTTAAGCCACTGGGTCCGGGAGTCAAACCGTAGTCAACTACATGGGAGTTCAGCGACATAGCCATTACGCTAATTGCTGGTCCTCCCCCAACCCTTCTTTTTTTAAGAGTTATTTTATTTAACTTTATTTATTTCAATTTGACCAGAGAAGAACAGAGTGAGAGAGAAAGAGAGAGGCAAAGAGAGAAAGCAAGCCTCCAGTTCTGGGACTTGAACCATAGTCGGCAATATGAGAGTCCAGCACCCGTAACTACCACACCACCTACTGGTCCCGAGCAGTGCTTTTTTCTTATGCCAATTTGTAAATAATGCAAACTATAAGTGTGGATGAATCCACAAGAAGTTGGTTCATTGGGTCCAGAAGCAGAGCTAGAACTTGCAAAGCTTTAGAGAAATGCATGTCATTAGGAGCACAGTAGGAACAAGAGTCCTACTGTCCCCTTGCCAGGAATACACATCCCCAAACTGACCCCAATACTTTAGGAACCAAAAATGATCTGAGTGCAATGCTGGTATTCTGAATCCTCTCTTTTAAATGAATTATTAGTCTTCATTTTCATACAACCATAAATGAAAGGTCACAATTTATTTTTAGGAGGTAGAGAGGAGAGGCAGCAGGATATGATAGTTGCTCTAGCTCTTTTCCAGAGTGAAAAAGAAATAGATAGAAGATAGTATCAGCATTTATCTCTCAGCTTGTTCTATTCATGAAAGGTCAGGTTCAGGGGAATTATTATTTTTTTTAGAGAGATTTTTGTTATAGGGCACATGCACTTTCCAGAGAGGCAGAGACAGAAGGCGAGAAATCACCACCACCCCTCCTCCCCGGGAGAATGGTCAGGCTTTGATCACTTCTCCATTCTCCTCTCAGGATTTTGGGCACATGTGCACACGCATCTGGTGTGAGTTTTAAACTGCCAGGTCTGAGACTTGAACCACATGGGAGTCCAGCAACATAACCATTACCCCATCTTCTGGTCCTTCTCTAGGGGAATTATTTTATTATGACCCCTTCTATTGGGTCGTGAAAAAAGTCATGACGCATTTTTTCGCATATAAAAGAAAAATACTTCATGACTTTTCTGACTGCCCAGTATTTGGAATTCCTCTGGCAATTTGTTCTTTCCCTTCTATAATTAGTCTGCGAGCAGCTCAGGGTCTAGACAGGACAGAGTTTGACTGCGGCCTCTGCTGGGAACGCTTTTGGAAGGTTTCTCTTGGCTGTCTTAACCAAATGGCCTCACTGGAGCTCAGCCCTGTGTAAACCTCTATTCTGAATTTTTCCCAGGGAAGGATACTTTAGGGAGGACCAGGGGCTCTGCGTTCCCCCATTTTACTTCAGTGCCTCTGCCCATGAAACTTGGCATATAACTAAAAATGTAATAATTTGAATATTCTTGGGATATTCAATAATATAATAAGGTACTCTGGATAAGAAGGCACTCATGGGCTGGGGTCATTTGGCAGAAGATGAGATGAGGAGGAAATTAGTGGAAATCATTTGAGGAGGCAGAATTGTGTTTGAAGGGGAATGTGTATAAGCAGGGCTGTTTAAAGCATGCTGTCATGGGAAACATAGACACTCCATCACCAGGGAAGCATATGGAAACACTGCTGGATCACAGGGACTGTCACATTCTAACCATAGCCCTCCACTCCCCGACTTGTCCTCCCTACCCATGACTCCTTTCGGTCTGTGACCCTCCCATGCAGTACATAAAACTGTTATTGATCTCTACAATGTTTCTTCACAGTGCATGCCCAGATAATTGAGATTGTGTGGTTCTGAATGAGTTGCACTTGGGCACATGTGTTTTCAGTACTTGTCCTTCTGTCTTTGCTTATGTCTCATTTCCACTGTTAAAGTCCAAGTTTACATTTTCCATTTCCTTGGCACTACAACTTAAGACCCTAGGAAAGGCACATTCATATTGCACCTGGAGTGCTGAACCAACATTGTTAACCTCTAGGCAATAATGTGTAGAGTAGTCAAGTATGAATTATGCAGGATAAACTGGGGATCTGATTTTTTTCACTTTAGAAAAAGTGCTCCCTATACATAATTTTATTAGAAAATAATGCTTTGCATTTAAACACATTTCATGTATAAGCTACAATTTTCCCCCCAAAGTATATTTGTTTCTTCTATCAGAAAGAGACACAGAGAGTGAAACAGAGACTCTCCACCCCCAACCTCAGCCAGTCAGGATCATGGGCATGTGCATGCAAGCTGACTATGTATAGGACGACCTTGGGATGCAAAACCAGGGCCTTTCTATCAGAGTGATGGCAAGAGCTACTGCTGGCTACTGTGGCTGACTGGCCATCCAATCATATATTGGGTTGTCAGGAAATGTAAAATGTTTTACGTTTTTACATACAAAAATGTAAAAATGTGTTATGACTTTCTCGATAACCTAATACTTTTTAAAAAGTTGATAAGCATCTTCATTGCATTCCCATGTAAAAACTTATTATAAATCAGGAAATGTAGAATGATTCCACTCTGTGGAATCAATCTCCCCCAGATTTGAGATCCTACTGTGTATATGATAGGTTCTGTAGACAATCTTGTCTATCCCCTGTCCTGGAGACATACACTTGTGACTATTACCTAAGATAGGATCAAGGAAGGACCTGTTCACATAGGCAAAAATACCATGAGGTTCAAAGGATGGAGAGAGAGAACGTGTGAGTTAGGAAAATTAGGTGAGGCAGCAGGGGGTTGGGGAGGTTTGTGTGTATGAGAAGGATGAACTTTGAGGGATGGGTTCATTAGTTTCAGGTTGGGGAAAGTAGTTCCAGTCAGGTAGCAGTGAGGGCCCCTACAAAGATATGAAGACTACGGCCTAGGAGTCTGACAAGGCTGTGGCTAGGAGTTTAAGTACATATAGAGACGTGATGCTCCATACTTTGATTGGAAATGATATATGGGTTTAAAAGCTAGGGTAAATTGGGGGGAAAGGATGGTGATTCTAGTAGCAGTAGGCACCTGTGGAGTACCTCCTCAGATGCTAGATGTTGTATAAAGTGCTCTACCTATGGAATCTCTTTGAATCTGGTAAAGGAGGTCAGGTTTATTTTCGTCAGTTTTTTTTTTTAAAAAAGAACAACATCATTGGAGCTGTGACAGAGCCAGTTCATGCAAGGATGAAGCACATGGAAAGCATTTAGGAGGTCATTTATATGTTCTGTGCAGGAACCAATGAGGATGTAAATTATTCCAACAGGAACATAAGTAAAAATGCAAAACTGAGTTGGTTGGAATTAGACTTTATTTTAACCTTCATATATAGTCTCTGCTACAAATTGTATTTTCTTTTCTTTTTTTTTTTTTCCCCTCTAAAGTTGATTTATCTATCTCTTTCATGAGAGGAAGAGACAGAGAGTGACAAAGACAGGCAACCCAAACAGGCTCTTCATGCCTCCAAGGCCACAACCCACTCCAGGCTCAGCTGGTCCATCCAGATTATAGGCACACATGTACCCAGAATGCTCAGGGAATCCTGGGAGTGAACCCAGGCCCCTTCCCAGGTTAGTCCAGCTGAGTTACCCCTGTGCCACTACTTGCCCCCAAAATTGTGTTTTCTAATTTAAGACACTTTGGTGGAACCTCGAGGGCCTAGATGACTTACATTCTATCCTAGATTTTTTTCATTAAGATACAGAAACAGTCTTAAATCACTTTCTGTTTTCTGAGTAAGAAACTTGGAGAATCTTCTTCTCCCTTGTTCTCTGTATATTAGTCCTCAATCCACTGAGGATCGGATTGTTGATTTTCTCTCATATATTATGCACTAAAGCTTTTCCAAACAGTTCAGATTCCTTGAATGTTCACATTTTAAACTGCTATGAAATACTAACCCTAGTCTGAACTGTCTTGCAGATTCCATTGTGATTGGATTTTGGGTTGGTCTTGCAGTCTTTGTGATTTTCATGTTTTTCGTGCTGACTTTGCTGACGAAGACAGGAGCCCCTCACCAAGAGTAAGTTCAGCTGTTCCTAAATGTCTGTAAAGCCCCACAGAAAACTGAAGAGCAGAAACTAGCACCCAGGCCTCAGTGGCTTCCAGTGGCTGGAGTTAGGGGGCTGCCTATAGGTTTGCTTCTTGGGTGGGATCCCACTTTCCTTCCGTTTTTTTGCCTCTTCTTTCTGAGGCTTATTTTCAGATAGACTCTTGTAAAATTGGGTTTCTTGGTTTTTCCTGCAGTCTTAATCCAGGCCTGATTTTTTATACTGAAATGTTTATTAATTCTTATGTATTTTCTCCTTATTCCCAAGATGGTTTAGATGACTCAGCAGATTAAAACCTGTAAAAAAATACATACACACATATATACACACATACACACACATATATACACACACATATACACACACACACACATATATATACACACGTTAAAAACACACATATACACACACGTATATATATATGTGTGTGTGGGATGTGAGTGTGTGTGTATAGATAGATAGATAGATAGATAGATATAGATATCAGAAATAGGATGAAAAATGGTTTTGAAAAATATTCCAAGGAGTGGGCTAGCCGGGTGGCACGGTGGACAGGCAGCTGGATCTCTGGATCTCACATGGCTGACTATGCTGTTTGAGTCCTGGACCCAGTAGTTTGAAAATATGCCAGGTGTGTGTGTGTGTGTGTGTGTGTGTGTGTGTGTGCGCGCGCGCACGCACGCGCGTACCCAAAAATCCCAAGAGAAGAATGGAAGAGAAGGGATTGCAGTGGGACCATCCTCCCTGAGGGGTGCTTTCTCACTTTCCCTCTCTCTCTGGTGAGCACATATGCCCTGTAGCAATAGCTAACTAACTAAATAAATACTCCAGGGAGCAGAGAAATAGGTGCTCCTGGGCACTCAACTAAATTTGTTATTGACAATATCACTGAGCTTAACACTGAGTTTCCTTGAAACTAGGATAAAAAGGGAAATACTCTGGATTATGTAATTCTCATAATGTGATAGAGAATGTTAACATTGGATTTTGAATCTCTGAAGGAAATTATTGCATGATTTATGAAAGGTGCTTGCAGAACATTGAGTAACAATAGAAAATTTATTTGTTCAGTTATGGTTTGTCAAAAACTCAGAAATGTCTTAGGGATGGTCAAGTTTGTTCTGTTGCTAACAACAAATACCTAAGTCTGAGTAACAGAAAAAAATAGAGGGGCTCTTTGGCTCATGATTCTGGCACTAGTTAGGGACTTCAACGTCACAATTTGGCAGAGAGAGGAAGCACAGGCAGAGCAGAGCAGAACATGTCTCTGTCTCTGTCTTTGTCTCTCCTTGTAAACTCACCAGAACTCAATAATGGGACCCCATCCTAATGCCTAATCACTTCCCAAAGGCCCCACCTTTTATCATCCTAGTCAATGAACCCTTCTCTTCAGACCTTCACAATACAACCAAATTCCAACACATGAATGGGGGGGGAGCATGTTCAAATCCTAGTAGGGGATATATGTTTTTAATACCAACTTTTCAAAAACAGGAAAAATAATGTATATTGAATACTTGTTAGTCAATCCCAGTAGACAACAGATGACCCTCTCAAATTAATAGTTAGAAAAGTTTTTTTTTTTTTTTAATTTTGTTGGGGGGGACCTGCAGTTGGTGTAATGTCTATGACACTGGACTCTCATGTAGTCGACTGCGGTTTGAGTCCCGGACCTGGTGACTTAAACTCAACGCCGGGCACGTGTGCATGCGTGCCCAAGAGAGAGGAGAATGGAGGAAAAGGAATTGAGGCATGGTCATCTTCCTTGAGGGGGGTGATTTCTTGCTTTCTGTCTCTCTGTCTCTGTTTTTCTGGGGAGCACACACACCCTTTCTCCAAGAAAAAAAATACATTTTGTTGGGGCCGGCAGGTGGCAGGTGGCACTGGACTCACATATGGCCCACCCTGGTTCGAGTCCCAGACCTGGCAGCTTGCTTTCTCACTTCCTTTCTCCCTCTCTCTCTGTCTGTCTGTCTTCTGGTCAAATTTAAATAAATAAAGTTGAATAAGATAATTCTCTAAAAAATAAATTAGTAAAAGCAAACAAATAAATAAATAAAAATTTTGTTCAAGTTTATTTATATATTTCTTCCATGAGAGAGAGACAGAAAGAGAATGAGGACATCAGAGAGACAGCATCTTCTACAGGGTCCATACACCACAGTTCATCCCCAGCATCCACCAGCCCCAGATCACGGACACATGAACATGGAGCCTTCCCATGTGAGTCAGCTTATATAACATCTCATTTTGCTGCTGTGACACTATCTGTCCCCTAGAAGAGCTTTTGATAACAGGGTTGTGCACAAATTGTGGACAGGGAGAGCTTAAATCCCACAGGATAGTACAGAACCCCAAGGCCAGCAACACTGAACAACAGTTCCCACCCAGATTTCGAAGAGTGAAGGGGAAGGTCACAAGTGGAACTCAGGAATCCGCCGGGAAGAACTATGGTCTTGGATCAGAGGATACAGCTAGCCCTATGTGACTGCTCCAAGAAGGAGTCCCCAGACGCATACAAGACCTTGCTCTTCTCCCTCCTCCCCATCTCTTACTAGTGCTCTCACTGTGCTGGACATCACCAGCAGCCAGAGACTCCCCAGGGCACAGGGTAGGATGGGAGAGGGGACAAACCGGCCTGGAAGTGTAGACAGGAGGAGTTTCACACACAGCCTCTTCGCAGCCTGGCATTACTGTGTTCAGCATGCAGCCTCCGGTGTCTGTTCTTTCTTCAGCCTGCACTTGAACAAAAGCCTGGGTAAACAGGGACACTTTTCCCTGTCCTTAAACTGTCTCTGGACATCAGGATATGGAAAAAATTTTAATGCAAACCTTTAAAATGAAAAGCAAATATCATTTTTATTGAAGCATATGGAGACATATGGTTAAGGATCTCTGTAGGAACCACTAAAAGGACACACACTTTCCCTTTTCTCTCTCCATGTCCTCATAAACATCTGCACACGCTTCCACTTCTATTATCGTGGGCCTGGGAATTTGAAAATACAGTGCAGATCATAACAGTAGTAAGGAAGGCTGAGAACACACTCAGACTAGGGCACATCCACAGAGCAGCCATTCTATTACTTTTTCCAAAGGGGAAGATGGATTTTTAAAGGTTATTGAGATGGATTTGTACAATTAGGTGGTTAGGAGGCAGGTGTTTTTATGGATGGGAGTATCCTCTCACAAAATAAAATGTGCCTTTCTGTTATGGTTAATTTGATGTGTCAACTTGGGTAGGTCATGGTACCCACATGTGATCAAACATTACTCTTGATGTTTCTGTGAAGGTATTTTTAAGACATATATTGATTAGCAGACTTTGAGTTAAGCAGATTACCTTCTGTGGGGTGGGTGGGCCTCATTCCATTGAAAGCCAAAACAGAAAGACTAATCTGCCCAGGTAAGAAGAGATTCTGCCAGCAGACAGCGTTTGCACTGGGACTACAACTCTTCCCTGGGTCTCCAGCCTGTTGGCCTACTCTGTGGATTTTGGACTTGCCAGCCCCCAGAATTGTGTGAACTAATTCTTTTAAAAGAAAATCTCAATTTCTTTCTCTTACGCACATGCACACACACATACACACACACATACACCCTGTTGGTTCCTTTTCTCAGGGAGACCCTGACTAACACACTCCTGCAAGGTGTCATGGTAACCCTGGGTGGCTGAACTTGTATTCCTAATCTTCAGATAGGAGTTCAGTCCTACCTTTAAATGGTCTCTCTTTTTGATGGCAGTTCTGAATGATGCTCAGTCACAGAACAGGTCATTTTAACCCTGTATGCTTCTAACAAGGTAAAGGGGAAACTCTTAACACTTTTTACTTTTAATGAAAAGGAATCAGCCAATAGAGCCACATTTTGAATGATTCTGTGCATCATTTGAAGCAGTGTAAGATATGGGATTTTGGTTGTAGTATATCATACAGAAATAATCAGAGATGTGGGGAAAAAACCCTTAATAAATCTGCTTAAAAGGCTTTTAGATCTTAGCAAACTTGACATTTATTTGGCAGGAATTTTCTTCTACAATAGATTTTTTTATTTTTTTGACGTGGCCAACTGTAATGGAAAACAACCAGTTTCATTTAAGATAATTAGGAATGGAGGGGAAAGATGATACACCATTGAGAATAAGAGCCATGTTTTTACTGTTTGCCTTATGTCCGACAATGTATGATCTCACTAAGTATTCATAGGAAGACAAAGTAAATTCCTTGAGTGTTCCTGCTTTACAGATAAGAAAAGTGAGGTTAAGTCACTTGTCTAAGGTCTCCCACATTAAATAAAACTGTAGAGCCAAGTTTCAACCTAAAGCCTCTCAGCTGGCATCGACCACTACACTGAAACTAACTTGGAGTGAGAGAGAACATCCCCTAGCCAACCCTGCCTGGACTTTCTTTGCCAATGCTCAATAGCAAGAGTTGAGATCCACTCATCTGCATAAAGCCAATTACACCACAATAAAATAGGTATTTATTTCCTGAAGTTTTCAACTTGGGATCACATTAGGCTAGGAATTTTAGTTATGAGAGCCAATGGTATGGTGGTTAAGGTACTGGACTCCCACATGGCCAACCGTGTTTTGAGTCCTGGACCCGGTGACCAGTTTCCTCTCTTTCTCTCTCTCTCTCTCTCTCTCTCTGGTCAAATTAAAATAATAATAAATCAGATTAAATAAATAATTATTTTTTCCAAAGAATTATTTAATTAAATTAATTAATTTATTTTTTAATTTGACCAGAGAGGGACAGAGTGAGAGAGCGAGAGAGATGGAAAGTGGAAAAGCAAGCCACCAGGTCCAGGACTCGAATCATGGTCGGCCATGTGGCTCAGCACCCTTAACCACCACATCACCTGTCAGACCCAAATAAATAATTCTTAAAAAATAAAATTAATTATGGAATCACTATGAGGATTAATTCTGGAATCCTACTCCTTGGGTTCTTTTAAGAGAGGGTGTATG